AAGAAGCAAAGATGCTGACCCTATTGGAAACAAGGAACCAGCACTTTCTGATTCCTTTTATTCTGATCTCTGGCCCTGACATTTTTCCACGTTGTGGAGAACGTACTCCAGCCAACACCGGACACTTAGCCTCTACCCATTGGCTACTAAATCGAGTTTCAAGTTCTTTAAATAATTTCATTACGAAAGGCTTAAAAAAGGAATCATGCCTCCTTTGGCTCCTTCTAACAATGCACGACCTAGCACAACAGAAATACTAAGTAATTGTATATTATTTACTTTATCAATGGAGGACAGAATCATAATTAACACAGCAGAAATCGAATATGCAAAAACATTTAGAGGTTATCAGAAATTTTAAAATATAAGTTTAACATTTTTCAAAAATTATGTCCCACCTATATCCATATTGAGGTTACTTAGATTTGTTGCCACATAGAATTTACATTATTAATCACATGACATGTGGAGTCATAATATATAATAGAATTGATATAGTCTATGCATATGAGCTGGACTTTTTTAATCCTGTCTCATTTATAATGTCCAAATACAAAATAAAAATTCATTTTCTTAGCAAAAAGAAAATATTCTGGCACCTATAAGAGAACAGAATTAAGATTTGTTCAATACGAACCCAAATCCCTGAAACTCCCTGAACATCAAAAGCCCAGATTCCCTGACTCCTACCCAAATACTTGCAGTTCCCAGTCCTCCCACTCACAAGTTGTTCCTGCTCACACTTATAGGAAAGGAAGAACACCGTGATTGGGAATTAAATACATGGAGGGAAAGTTCTGGGGGCGGGGAAATTGGTATGCTATTACCAGCTGGAGGATAAAAGGCTTAGCATACAAAACCAAAAATATTCACTACATTCGCCCCTTGGCTCGTCAATTCACATGGACTGCTTTCCATTCATACTTTTTCAAGGTTTCTGGTTAACATTGCCAAAAGCATTTACCTACAACCCAAAAAGAGACAATCAAAAGTCCCATTCACTACCTCAGCTAGCTTCAGGGTAAGGGTCTCACAGGTAAAGTTCCTTCTCTTTTAGCACTAACTGAAAGCTGCTAGGAAATTCTGCAGACAGTGTATGAAATTGCAAGTTTCTAGGTCAACATATCTTGCATAAAACAGTAGGTAAAAGAGAAAAAAGGAAATTTCACTTAACATATAACACAAGCAAGCAAAAATGGGTAGCATATTTGTGCTACACCTTATAAGGCTGTAGCTAGTTTTAAGAACATCCCTCCAAACACATTCCATATTCCCCATCTTTGGCTAGAAACTCTGTTTAACTGGTTTCTTTATACATTGGGTAACCCAAATGAACATACTAGACAGAAGAAATATGAGCTCATGGTGGGACTTTCTGGGTAGTTTTTAGTCTTTCCATCTTTCAGACTTTTATGTTTTCTAACTCCCATGAAACTTTACCAGTTAGGATGATGTATATAATACATGCTCCAGGGCGTCAGAGTCCCTTCAATGAATCATTAACTCTGTTCTCCTTTATGGTCAGGCTCATTAACTTTAGATAAAAATATAACCCTTCTTTTTCGCTTTACCGAGAGAATTTCCACTGAGGCCATAAGTGTGGATTAAGGAAGCTGCAATGACACAGCAAAAAGAGTACGTGTAACTGGGAGTGAAATATAGCTACAAGGAAATTGCCTGATTCAATACAGACCCCTTCTTCTCTTAAGAGAATGCTACTAAGTACATGGTGCCTCAAGCATTTCTCAGGCACCTTCAGTTATTAGTTTTCTACCAGACGAAGCAGAAAATGCAATAGCAGAAAAATAAAGGAAGGTTAATGGCACTCATTGTTTTCTGCCTCACAATTCTTTCATCCAAAGTTTTCTGTTCTTTGCCTTCCACTGAAATAATAGAAAATCTCACTTCTTTCCCGCTTCCCCACAGAGACATGAGGTGCAAGATATTAGCTGCTGTATTTACACAGGACAATAGACACTTCATGCAAAACACCAAGGTGTCCAGCATCCTGGGAGATATTTATTCAAGTCCTCAGAGCCTAGGCTCTCTCCCATTCAGTTCTGCTATCTGAACTTCTTTTATCCTCCATTCTTCTCCTTATTGGGTTAGCAGATTATACAAAAATGTTGACTTTGTTGGAACCATGGAGCAGAGCAGCTCTAGGCTCTTTCCCACCTGACCCAACAATGAGGAATAAACATCAGGAACAGAAATATGCATAGATAAATTAAATAAAAGATCTGGAAATAGATTTAAGTATAATTAAGAATAGGATGTGGGAGAATCGTTTTATAAACAATATAGATGTCTAACCAATGTACTGTATACTTGAAACTCATTTAAATAAATAAATTTATTTTAAAAAGACTAGGATGAAGTTAGAATTTCAAATCAAAGAAATTTAGTACATTCTTCAATAAATGATGCTATTCATTTGACATGATGGTCAAATTAGATCCCTACTCCACATCATATACAAAAATAAATTTCAAATATATTAAGGTTGTAAATGTAAAAAAATAAAATGATTAACAGAATAAAATATAGGAAAACACTTTTCGAAATTTGGGGTGATGGGGGACTTTTCTAAGAAAGAAAACCCAGAAGCCCCTAAATTTGTTTATGTGTTTAGGAAAGACAGATATAATTATATAAATACATATATACAATTATATAAATATAAAAAATACTCAATTGAAGAAACCACAACAGTATGAGAGGGCAAATAATACCCTAGGAGAAAACATATGCAGCAAATGTAATTAATAAGGCT